GATCGTGATAACCTACTACACAAGTGAATCGTGATAATAAATCGTGTTTGTTTGTTAATCGTTAATTTCTCTTAGGAAAGACCTTTGAGATAATTGTATTATTAAGTTAATTAGTTTTGTTAGCTTGGTTTGAGACGATTCCAGGTCTAACAACGTAAACGAGAATACAAATTAAATATTTCAAAATAACTTCAAATCTTTAAAATTTAAATAATTTACCAAATGAAAACAATCATTTGCATCGAAATTATTATTAACTAATATAATTTTATATAGTAAACCTTCATTTTAGTAACTAAGGGTAATATTATAATTTTCAAATATTATTTTACCAAATGTTATGATCTAAATTTATTTAATTGTTATATAGTGGACCAAACGATATCGAAAATACTACAGAACCTAAGCAGAGAAAATTATTAACTTCTGTTAGTTTATAACACTTTCCCTAGTCTGTTGTTGTAATTGCTATTCGTATATCTTGATAAATAATCAAATAATCATTATTTTATTTATCAAAACTGTTCGATTTAAATTTCGAGCCTATACTGTAGCAAGAATATAATTTTATACAATACATAAACAACACGATGTATGAGTTAAAATTTACCTAGAAAATTTCTTTCGTCTTTTTTTATCACAATTAGATTTAATTTAATAAATTTATAAAACTCAAAATAATAAAATAAACTTATATGTATAAATTATATAGATAAGTTAATAATCTAGAACAAAACCAATATTTTGAATAAATATCAAGTTCGTAGCAATTTGTCATAAAGAAATTTTTTATTTCATTTTTGTGGCGCAGTTACTTACAATTCATTCATTCTTCAATAAGTTTGTGACTTTACTTCTAGACGTAATCAACATTACGAAATTGTTCATTAAGTTTGCTTTTTTTCAGTTTGGCTGCCTCATTTACATAAACTTTTTTTAATTTGATCTTATTCTCTGCTTATCAGACCATACAATAAAATACTATTTATTGAAATAAATCGTAATAATAAAACAAATCTTATAATTAATCGATGCACCGAAAGAAACAATAAAATTGAAAAAAAATTAAAAACAATAATGGGAAATCACCTACAATTAAGAAACGATCAATCAAATAATTGAGAACTTTTATTTATCATCCCAGATGATTTATTTTATGTCTAGATCATGTGAAATCAGTAAATCGTGCATTTCATAACAAGATAATCATCTATTCAGAATCCATTTCTTAGAAATCCGTTAGAAATGTGTTCCATAATATTTCTATATGTGTTAACGGATTAGCCTGTCGGTCTTCGTCGTATATAATATTTGTCAAATAATCCTCTTGTTCTTTTAATAATTGTAAGTTTTTTTGACAATAGGAGTAGTAATACAATTTTTTTATTTTAAAAAAATGCCCTGCTTTGAAAATATCTAGAATTTCGGGTTTATTTGTAATTATAATTATTTTTAATACTTTTTGGTTCGATCTTAAAGAAATAAGCTTTTAGTTATTATTAGCATAATATTTTTACTTTCGGATACTATTGTTTTGGTTACAGTGATCGAAAGTTTTTTTTTTGAATTTTTTTAAAAAAAAACTATTTTTTTTATTAATCATTAGGTGCTCTTCATTTCATAAATAAGCGGTATGAATTTTTTTTTTTTTTAAGATCAGGTCAGGTCACTGCGATATAATAATTTTTATTTCTCCATAATTTAATTGTTTTTATTTTTTATTATTTCCGTTGGTTTTTTCTTTGATCATTCCACTATAATGTTCTTAAATCCAATTATATTAAAAAAGAAAATTTATTATGATGTAATTACGACTCAATCCTTCTATTTCCGCACTTATGCGCTACATTAAAATAGATTATAATATGATTCCTACCAAGACTAATCAAAAATTAAACCCAACTCGAAAAACAAAATTAATTTTTAAATTAAAAATTTTATTTTAATATCGATGGGTTTTTGTCATTCGTCGAAACTTTGCCCCCCGTCGAAAATTTACCACCCGTCGAAACTTTTGCCACCCGTCGAAACTTTCGCAATTTTTCCTTTAATAAAAAAATTTGGCAATAAGTTTTGATGGGTTACGATTTCGATGCCTGTCGAAACCTCCGGGTTTTGCCCGGCAACCTTACTTTGTAATATTTAATTAAAGGGCTAAAGATAGAAAGATGAACTTTACCTTAATATTTAATTATAATTCTTTATTAAAAGAAATACTGAAATTTAACGTTAACTAATTAATTTCGAAATTTAACAATTTGAATTTCATCAATTAATAATATTTTCCAATTTTATACTTTTGTATTTAAAATTTTGACTAAAGAATTTAATTTTTTAATTAATGAAATAGAATCTTTATTTATAACATTAATTTTTGGCTGGAAACTTTCGCTCTGTTCTCATCTATATCCTGGAAATTTAAACATTTATGATAAACTTTTTTTTCATGATCTTTATGACAAATACCATCATTCGTCCTAATCAACATATTATTTATCCAACAGACACTCCAGAATATATGCCATTATTTCGTTTTTTTTTTTTTATATTCGAACATTCTCCATTGCAGGTTCGAATTTTTGAATAACAACTTTCACAATCTAATTTAATTACAAAGGATTTATTTTCAATAAAATACTTTAAGAATTTCAAAAGAATTATATGTAATAATTATTCACGGGGAACTGAATATTGTTACGATTGAATGTAATTCCGGCAGAAATCTCCATAATTCCGCATGAAAATCGCTTTCGATATTTACAGTTAGTCTTTTTGATGGATAATTAGCCAGGATGTCAAGGTTTCAGTATGACAAAATGTTCAAGATGTCAGGCTGGCTTAATTATTATTTTTTTTTTTTTAATATATATACCAAGCTGAAAATCCTTAAACAGCTCAATATCCACGCTCGCCCTTAATATATTTCTTTGAATACATTTCCTTCGAATTCTTAACTTTTACACCTTCGCGATAATTTCGTTTTCGCCGTTTCAACTTTTTAATTTCGCATATGTAACACCATTTATTATTTATTTTAATTCCCGATTTTATTAGTATTTTATAATTAAATTTTTATGTAATTTTTCGTAATTTGCGTAATTTTAATTAATTAGAAGTTAATACTCGACATTTATAGAGTTTAAAATATTGATCAAGCGAAAGTGTAGAGCGTTGAGGCAACACTTATTAATTTGATAATATTAAATAAATAATCTGTCATTGTTACTTTACTTCATTTTTACTCAATAAAAACCTTCTGCTTACATTTAAAATTGTTTATAAATACATAAGCGAAAGAACTGAATACAACACTATCAAGAAATATACCTCATTTCGGTTTCACAATGATATTTATCAAGAAGCATACCGAAAATCTATCATGTGATACACAGGAATTTTTTATGCAGTATTTGACTTTCTGATTAGAGTTGGTAGGTGATGGCATAGGTAAGGTATATACATTTTGGTTGCAGTTTGCTTATTATTAAATGCTGGATGTTATCCATGCTGACTTTATCTTTTATATGATTTTATTTATTTACTTTTTTCATTTCTTTCATTCGGTTTATTTAATCTTCTTCACCTTCTAGCTTACACACCAATTTATGTTGATATATGTTTTTAATTACAAGATAATCAACCGCGAGTAAGGGTTGTTGTTATCATTTTTTATGTCAAATTTTTTTTGTTTTTTTTTTATTTCTCGCGTTCGTTTTATTTAATCTCGTAGTTCCTTGACTACAAACCCCAGATCATTTTTATTTTAAAGTTTTTTAATTAAAGAATGAACCAGTTGTGACGAATGTTGGGATTTTAGACTAGACTGGGATGGGCGTTACGACTCAGCATATCTCACAGTTATCACAATACGTAAGCATCATGAACACCGACAAGCATAATCAAGTGCTAACGAACTAGTGGAAATAGTAATTCAACAAAATTATTTCATTGATAATTCTGTTATGTAATTATCGAGAATGTTTAAATCAACATTTTTTTTTTAAATCGCGGAATTTTTATTTCTGATAATAATAATAATTTTAGAATTAAATAAATGAACATAGAAAATTATTATTTTTTATACTTAAAATATTATTAAAATTATTAGTTAAATATAAAGCACACAAAAGATAATTAGCCGTACGTTATCATGAAGTTTGCGCATAATTCTTTCCTTGTTTTAAGACCTTATACTTATTTTTTTTTAATGACTAAAGCTTTGTTCTGATGATTAATTAACATGAGCTTTTGTATTATTTCTTAACTTACCGAATTGTACATAAAAATAATCAACGACAAGAATTGTAAAAAAACCCTGGCTGTTACGATCCGGCATGCGAGATCTAAAAAAAATTCTAGATAATGCAAAGTGTTACAAAAACGGAATATTAAAAATAAATAGATAGCTCAGTTTCATAATTTTCAAATGAAATGACTATAAAATTGATTTCATAATATCTACAATTGTTTCGTTTGCTATATTGCCAAATTGCCAATATAAACACAAAATTTATTTATATATCAACTGTGATTACAAACTACATTGCACAAAATATATTTGATTTAGTTAGCTACCTTGATTACAAGATGGTCGTTTATAAAGATTTCTCACACGATAAAGAAGATAATAAAGTTTGTTAGATAAACACTTGACACTTCGTACAATTTACCTGATGGGAAAGTTATACCAATTGATATTACATTAGATATGCAGGATTTTAACTTTTGCCTTTACCAACGGAATGGAGTTAAAAGTACTATTCAAATTTATCCCATAAAAGTAATTTTTTGTTAGTAACTTACGTGGATACCACTAATCCAAATGATCCTTACACTTATAATGAAAAGACAATGGTCATTGATTTAAATGGAACAATTGATGGATTAGAAAAATCAGATTCCTATTAAATAAATAAATCTACTTCAACACTGTTAATTCGCTTTTTCTTTTCATAAGAATATTATATTGAAATGTACCTATGTTGATGTTGCACTAATCAATGGTTACCCGATCAAGCTGGAATTTTTGTAAATTACAATTCACACAAGGGTTTCTCCGTGTAACATCAATAACAAATGCTTCTGGCTTTGGCTTCGAGCGATACGAATCATATAAATATTTAAGTATTTGTTAAATTAATTATGAAAAATAATTACAATATTTTATTATTTTTGATAAAGTGCTGAAGACGGAAATATCTTATTTCTTGTGCAATATATCTTAAATTTTAAAGATTCTCTTAGCCTTATATTAACTGGCATTCCAATAGTGGATGGTAGATACGCAATTATCTACGCTAATTCCACGGATTTCGAAGTTACTTCAATTATAACTCAGGAAGTTTCTACATATTAATATTAGAGTACGATCAAGAGACTGAACGAGAACCAGCTGTTCTTTATCAAGTTACAATCTATGGATTAAGTTTATTAACATTAATTGCGATGTTTATGTAGGAATTGGACAAGTTTGTATAGTAACAGGCGAATATATTGTACAATAGGAGCGGTTAAAGAAACCATTTATTAATTTTTCTTTCATGTGAAACAGCATATAATTTAAACCATTAAAGATTCAAACGAATCCAATAATTGAGGATTATGCTATTCGTTTATTATCATATGAAGGTTATTTATTAAGTGAAATAGGAAGAATTGATGGTCAAATTGTAATAACTGGTTATGTTTTTAATGATGATGGTGAAGTTTATTCTTGGAATCTTCCAAAAATTGTCGAATAAACTTTAAAGCTGTTATTTAACGAGGATCAGGTACGTGACAACATTTAGAAAAATTCAACTATTGTAAAAATTGTAACCTTTAATTTAATTTTTATTTATTAAATAAATAATTCTAGATCATGGGTATAATAATTTCTATATCGCTTCCACGACTCAAGTATTAATGACATGATTCCATCTCATTTTGGAGTTCCTTAATATTAAAATTATAATAAAGTTGAATTATCAAACGGTAACATTACAATTTTTCAAGACGATGATAATATACGACAAACCACTTCGGGAAACAACGGCTTCTTTTCTTTATGAAGACGATCGCAAAGCTTTTCTTATGAAAATTAAAACAAGAATTTGCTGATGCAATTCCTGTCAGTCCTAATCGCATAACTACCGATGAAGGATTTAAAATCGATACTTCAGTTTCTCAAAAACAAATCTTTTTATCCATTGACATTAAAAAATAAAACTGAGCAAGGAAGATCAGTTTGTTTGGCATTAAGGATGTAGATAGTTTGATTAAGAATAAACCTTATCACTGTTATCGCCTCAGGTGAATCAATCAGTTATTAGATGAGGATTATGAATATAAAACTCTCCGTAAGAATTCAATTTTTTAAAATATCATATAATAGTTTACATGTATGAAGATTCTTTCAATTAAAGCTAAATATATTTTATTACTTTATATCCTGAACATAAAATAGCCAATTGGCGAAAAACTTATGGATCAGTTCTTATTGGAGTTATCTCGAAGTATAGGATGAGATGTGTTATTATTCAAATGCAATTGAGAATACTGAGATTAGGGTTATGATACATCGTTTGAACTATTCATTCCGTCAATATTCAAATATGATTCAGCCACTTCATTTGATGTATTTTTATCATCATTTATAATCGACGATTGCGTCCGGTATTTCCAATAATTTTATTACTAAAATGATTTCCGTCTAAAGAAATGAAGAACCAAAAAAAAATTAAGAATAAGAGAATATTTATAACATTATCACCAATGGCTAGTTCTTGGGTTTGCTCATTTTGCTTACATTGAGCAGCATCCTTCAGAGTTGTTGTAGATTGCATTTAGCAGTGGCCATCAGAGCTGATAAAATTTGTTGATTGTTATCAAATTTTATCGACAGGTCAGGTTCCTTTAATTTACATTTAATAATCTTTTGTCCTTTGGTAGTGATTTAAGTTAAAGTCAGATCATTGTCACCTTTTTCAATATTAGGACTTTTTTTTTCGATCATCTTTAGCAGAATGTTTTGTGTTTGAAATCATTTCGGATCTTGATTTTCTTTCAGAATTAAAGAAAAGTAAGCTACTAATTTTTCTTTGTAAAATCCAATAATTTTTATGGTAACTGTCATAGAATCTTAATTTTCATTTGATTTCGGGTAATTTTGTGAGGTATAATAACAAAAAATAAAAGCCTTTAAGTATTATAGAAAGTATATGAGAATAATGTTTAAAAAATTAAATAGAAAAACTTTATTATTGTAACATTTAGAAGAATTCGTTTGAAGAAATGCATATCAGATCACGAATAAAATAAAGTTTGGTGTTGTATAACCATACATTAAAATAAGAATACTAAGCTATCGTAATCACATAATTTATAAATGATGTGTAACCTAAGATCGTTCTAATACCTAAAATATTAATCGTTTATTTCTTTTAGGGAAGGCCTTCAAGATACTTAAGATATTAAGATATTTTAGGTTGTTAGCTTGGTTTTGGTATAATTCCAGGCCTAACACCGTAAATAATGAAAATTTGGATAAATACTATATTATTTTCAGTTTAGTTTTTTTTTGTTATTAATTATTTTATGAATAAATCTTTTTAACTAAGTCAAGTTATAAATTACCATAATAAAAATAAAAATAAAAATTAGGTTAAAGTCTATAAATGCCAAGACATTTTAAATCCTTCTCGGGATAAAGTACTTTTAGTTCACCGTCAATTTGAACTTTGACATTATGAGACTCATCAATAGGTAATCTTTTATTCAACATTTATAATATTAATTAAAACGTCATCAACAGGCCATCTTCTATTTCCTTGTATAATTAAATTTCTATTTGGATTATTTTCATCATAATTAGAGGTGATGATAATGCCTTGTCTTTAATAAAGGCATAAATCGTTCATTTATCCAAACTTTGATAAATAATGAAGAGAAGAATGTTCCAGGTAATGCTTTACGGAATGCATTGATATTAGCGTTGAATTTGTATGAGGGAGACGATTGTGAGTAAGAAGATGGTCAGAGCGCACGATTAAATAGATCATTTGCCGTTGGAAGTCTTGTAAAATCATGCTCAGATCCTTGATATACTATGCCTAAATAATTAAGTAGATTGTATTACGTAAAATTTCCTAATCTATAATGACGTAAAAAAAATTGAGGACAAAATAAATTGTTATATGATTAAATCTCAACAATTAACAACTAAAATAAATAAAATGAATGAATAAATAAATTGATTTTTTAAAGATGTTTACAAGTTGAAAAAAAAAAATTACCGGTTGATGAACATCAAAAAAATTCCTAGTACACTATTATCATTAAAAGATTTTCTATTATCACATTAGCACAAGGAGTAATATATAAAGGTTGTAATTTGGAATAGGGGATACCTAAAGTATTATACATATATCATTGATAAGATCCAACAAATCCTGCATTAGAATTCGCTACTTCACCGATTGTAAATACTCCACTACTTTGAGTGAACCCACCCCAAAGACTATGTCGAATGCTTTTTGCTGTATCGATATATATACCATCAAATTCGAATTTTTTGACCAACCAA